GAATTACCAAGCAATATTGATGTATCAGCCTGTCGACTGCACCTTGTACAACCCCGTTCAAAGTGAGCGTCTGTAGACTGGGCGGAATAACAAACTAAAAGAGTGCAACAGTCTAAGGAGTCATTTGAAATGGGGTTTAAGGTGTATAGCTACGGTGGATGGCTGTGTGGGAAGAATTGAATTGTGTGCACTGCACTTGTCAAAGCTTAATTGAAGGCAAGAATTTGTGTACTCTTCAAGTGACTTGGCGAGAGCGGGGGGTGGTCGAACAGTAACGGAGGCTGAGGTTGACTGAAGGCGCCAGTATAACAGACTGATTTGCTGACTTGCCGACTAGCGCACATATTTATGTAACCACGGCAAAAGAAAGAAATTATCTGTGCAAATGAAAATGCAAATGCACAAATAAGAATGTTTTCCCATTGAAAACCGTCAAATAAACAAATAAAGAGGCGGCAGAAAGACGCAGGAAGTCGTTGAATGGTAGGCGAACGAAAAGATTATGTGAACGTAGTGCACTGACTTTCGACACGTATCAGATACCTACCCACATATATACAAACATCTGTATTTTCATTCATACCTATATAAATAGATATTATTGTGTGCAAGTCCTGGCATTCTAAAGATATATGACAAAGATAGTACTCATGAAAACACTCTGTTAACCCAGTAGGTTAACACATTTTACATATTTTTGTAATAATTTCTTTCTTTCTTTGTTCAAGATCTACCAGAAACATATTTTAGGAACTTATTTATACACAAATATCCCTTTGAAATTGAAGAACGACTGGAGGGCTCTAAATGATCTTTGATTTTAAAATGAATGTCAGAATATTCAACACAAATAACATATATATACATATATTAAAACATATAGAAAATAGTCGAATCGAAATGTAAAACATATATAAGAACAAGTAAGGAAGTTCTAAGTTCGGGTGTAACCGCACATTTTATATTCTGGCAACTTGCAAGGATCAAAGCCCGGGAAATTAATTCAGGTGTTGGCAAATTTTTATATTAAAAGAAGTATTGATCCGATTCAACCGATTTTAAATATTTATTTATAAATCTTATCTTATCTTCTAAAAAAGGGCGGTGGTATATATATATCTATAAGGTTATCTCATACCATCCCAGAGATATAATTTAATGTCTCTGGCGTGTTTAGTGCGTGTTACTCTGTGAATTTTGTTATTATAGCGTTAGCGGTTTAGGGGATATGCACATTAAATCTATTAGGGGCCGGTACCAAGCTCACTTTTTAAAAAAATTTAAACTGCAGATACATATATACAAATAAATAGAGCGTCCTTATATGATCCTGTATACCAAATAACAGTCTTGTATCTTCTTGTGTAGCTTAGTTATGGCAATTTTTTATATGAAAAATATCGATATGTTCATCGGTTTTTGTAAGACATCCAATTTCAGTAATTTATTTTCTGTAACAGCGTAAAAGATTATTCTGAACCATTCCCCAGTAAGAAGTTTCAAGTTAGTTGATGCTGGGCCTTTTAAAAAATTATATACACGTATATCTTCTCTGAGTAACTATCTTTATTAAACTAACTAAGACTCTCAGAAAATCTCTACAGCTTTTTGTTACTCGATGCAGATTCCGGTGAATGCAGTTAAGCGGACAATTGGAGGACGAAATAGAAGAGAAAGCGTTTCCACCGAGAGCACTTGAACACATATATCCGTACATATAGATGCATCTCCTATCTTTACAATAGCATTTGTTTAAGCACCTATATTCGCATCCAGTGTAATGCTCAACGTTAGAATAAATAAACTTTTGTTCAGATTTGAAAAGAAGACAGAGGAGCACCAAAGGATTGGCAAATGTTTCTGTCTTTTGGGGCAAGAATACAAATGCCTTCTTCTTCTTAGAAGGAAACAGTTATTACGTTGGCACACAACTACACTCGAAAGTGCGCATGAATAACTAAGTATTTGCATTCCTCATTTGGTTAAACAATATTATTTATAGCTAAGGGTCTAGGAGCCGCAAACTCAAGCAACGAGCAGCATACGTCATTAAGAATCGCACCAAACTTCCGCAGTTTAAGGCTGTGCAGCCGTGAATATTTCTAGTTAGAGTTGCCATTAAAAGACAAAAATGCTGCATTTATAATAAACGAGCGTAAAAGCGCTTGCACATTTTTAGGCGCATAAGCAAGCAAGCCGTCACAGATCATAAAATGCATTTATGCGCTGAAAATAGCAGTGTGTTAATGAGCCCACTGAGAATGATTCACTGAGGTTCCATTTTACCAACACAGGTAATATTTATGAACCACAGCAACGGCAGCTTATAGCCAGTTTTCAGTGGCAAACATTCATATAACCAAGAATTCGTATTACCTTGAAGCACTATATAGGAGTCAATCTCGGCGATATCCCTCCATTGACCGTTTTCTTGAGCTGAGTTGAGAACTTAAGTTTGCTCTTACAACAGGTCATATATATTCAATACTAGTGGCGGTCTTTCAAAGCAATTATCAATATTACAAGATTTACAAACATCTTATTTTAGGGTTAGAAATACAAACTCGATCGATTTAAGGAATTAGTTTAGAGCTTTTTGAAATTATTTCTAAAATCTTTTTATTTGATTGTGTATACTTAAAATACTTGTATGGCAAGCGTGGGTACTAAGAAACAAAAGAAATAACTGATTCGTAATTTTTCATTCAATACATAAACACTACAACATACACATTCAAACATACGAAACCGAGATTTCTTCATTAAATTAAGTTAATTTTACGGTACAGCCTATTCACTATCGTTAAGCAGGTAAGGAAAAAACTTCGACGCCTTGCTTCAGCCGATGCTGTTAGAAAGCTTCGTTAAAACGAAATATTTGCAGGAAACCAAAAAACTCTGAATTATTACAATCCCTTCCTACATTCCCTATATGTATGTATGCAAAATATGTATATTGTAAAAATGGTTGTTGCTGTGGTGAAGTGCGGAATGAAGGCCGCTGACGAGATGCAACCGATGCAGCGGTTTGATTCAGAAGGTGGGGGCACGATGCGTTTTGAAGTAGTAAGTACGTATGTGTTTACTTAGGGTACCTGCGGGTCAGTAACTTGGTGAGGGGAACTTATAGTTAACGACGCACACTGCACTTTTTACAACCTTCATATTGTGTAGGCCTTCCGCAAATGCCTACATTCAAGCATAGTAACCATTTCAGGTGACCGTTACGGCCTTCCTGTTGGGTTATAACTTTTGGTCCTTGGCGTAAATGTTGAGTTTGGCATAAGTCAACTTGTAGAATTTTTACTTTGCACATTAATTAATTAAAAATAGAGAAAATGCAGGTGAAACAAAATTGTGAACACATTCATACATACAAGTATATACATACATCTATATGTAATGGAGGAAAAGATTTATGGCAGAAAGCAGTAATCAGGAAAGAAGAGAGGGAATGAAAAAAAAAACAAAACGAGAATGGAGAGTTGCGTAGTTGAGAATGGGTTTGGTCAAAGGATTATGCTGAGTATGAGGTTTGCTTAGGTACATAGTACTGCCGGCCGTTGAGTGGAACGAAACGTTGCGAAGACATTTCAAAAGGTACGTATGTTCACCAAGAATGGTGGCGAAGTGAACGAAAGACGAAAGCTAATTGAATGATTGGTGTGGAGTCAGGAAAACGCAACAAACTCAGGCGAAGCGACTTTGTTGCAACAGTGGGGGGAGGAGTTGACCAGTGGAAAGGCAGTAAGCCGAGCGGCGGATGTGTATTTCAGTAAGTGAGCATTGAACGATTGAGCTAGCGTTGGGTAGCACTCGAGAGTTGAAGACAGATGCTGTCGACTCTGCTTTGGGCATGAAGTGCATTGAATATAATAAAATAAGCAACAAACAAAACGAGTAAAAGAATAAAAGAGTAATAAAGGAAACGAAGTAAATGAAAAACCAGCAATGGAAAATCGGAGATAAAGCGACGAGTGGAGGGCCCTGTGCACAGGAACTGCAGTGCGTTGGCTTTGGCGTCGTGGCCTGCAGCTGCTTATGTAATTGTGTCTGCCCCTCTGTGCGTTTTGCATATCGCCAATATTTATTTTGGGGTTTTAAATGTGGTTCCCAAAAGGCCGTAATGACGTGATACGAAGCCAGTGGCCTTTTAATATGATACAGAAATAGGTTTATAACAAAGAAACATGACTTTTTGAAACAATTTTGTAAGTTGTTCGAACCTTCTTACATTTGCATTAATACTTTTCTTAAGTTTAATAAAAGGAAATTAAGAAATAATTAAATAATATAATATTATAGTTTTTAGCGAGTTATTTGCTATGTCCCAAGTTACTTAACATAAAGTCCTCCACTGTTGCAGTAATTGCGGCCTACCCTTTGGTTCGATTCAAAAACATAAAAAATAATATTAATTTGTAAGGTATTTTCTATACAATGACCTACGATTTTTAAAAATTAAAAAAATTAAATCAAATATCAGACTTTTAAAAACAAAAGATCAAGTTTTGCTTAAAAATTCGATGATTTTTAGTCCACCAAAACTACATTTTTCATACAATCGAAAAATTGGACGGCCATTGTACAGAAAGCAGATACAAAATACGCAGAGCTATATTAAAGCTATATTTGAGTTACAACTGCAGCTAATCTGGAAAATACGGTTTTGAGAAAAAGGCGTTTAAAGATAAACTGATTGAGCTAATTGAACTGATTGACTTGAGCGGCGACAGTCTATACTGTGACTAAAAAATATTTTTAATATTAATTTAAAATGTTAGTATGTGAGTTTTAAAGATATCGAATATACTAATAAGCAAAACTACCACACAATATTTTCAATTTGACTAGTTCTCTGAACAGTAGGTATACTCCGGAAGTGACACGAGTTCAAGCAATTTTTGAATCTTCATCACATATCTGTCCAGCTACGCGTAAGCATCTCAAATAAATATGTACGGGGCTTTTAAAGCTTTTTCAAAAACAAATCGGACAAGTAAAATTCATAAAATATCCACGATTCTTCATGTGTTTTATTATATCTTCAATGCTAATCTGTTAATAAAATCATGTCGAAACTGACACCACCTATCCAAGGATTTTCGTTGTCATCATTCTCAATATTTTTCGCAAACATCTTGCAATTAACGTTGAAAAGCTGGTCTTGTGGTACATTTATAATTTGTATCGTTACAATCTGATCATAATCACCTTGAGAATAAGACGAACCATTATTAATCTTGTTAACGGATTGCTGGGTGTTGATTTGCTCCATGGGTATTGAACGCGATTGCGGAAAATATTCGATATTTACCCAAGAATTCGATTTGCATGATATCCATAAACGTCCCTTACGTTTATCTGCTGGAAGACTGTCAATGACTTTCTTTAAAACGCGTTCCCTCCTTTGCAATTCTCGGCCATTTTCAATGGCATCAACATGAAAGCCCGCAATTCGGTTAACTTTCAGGAATACACACGGGTTACGACTCTTGTAACCATAATAATTGTTCGCACTGCATTTACCGAACTTGCGACGCGTACCAAATTTTTCTAGGAAACTATTTATATTTGTTACAATAAGTTCGATGTCTTTCTCCTCGTAAGCATTCCAAGATATACGGTTAAGATAATAGGATTCATAGTTGGGGTAGTAAACTAAGGAAGGCTGCAGTTTGGATACTCGCGGAGCATCCTCTGGCAACGTTAGTTTATATATCGTAAAGCAAATGTAAAATAAGATGAATAATCCCGCATAAAATATCAAATAGTACAATATAGTTTCTATCCAATAGATCACTCCTCTTATAAACGGTGTATTACTGATTGTTTTATTATGCGATCGCACATCTTCGTTCTTTACTGTTTCTTTCCTGTTTTTATTGTTTTCCTTTGCAGGTTTCTTGGGACGCTGAGGAGATGGTTTCTTAACGCTGCTGACTCTTTCTGTTGACTCACTTATCGGAGCTAAGGCGTTTTCAGCATTTTCGCGTCGAAACTGTTTAACGAGCACATATGTTCCAGATTTCTCAAACATAACTTCTTCAATTAAAAATATTGAAGAACATTTGATTGCTAAAACTTATTTACTTTGTTCAAAAAAATGTTCAATACAATTGCCACATTTAAGAAAAATCAAATTTGTCTCAAAACGCGCTTTTACAGTTTTGCCAGTATACTACAGATTCGACGAATAAAAATTAAGTTAAAGTTACTGGGTCCTAACAAAAATTGTTCACATATGAATGGCGGGACCATCTCTTCTACAGGTTGGTTGAAAAATTGCTGCTCTTGAAATGAAAAAATACTGTTTTTGGTACGAAATATATTATTTTATTCAATATAATCTCCCTTAACTTCAATACACTTATTCCAATGATCCTGCAATTATTTTTTGCCATCCCTACAATGACTTTCCGGAGGCTCTGCAAAATACCCGTTTACGGCTGTAATAGCTTCTTCATTCGACGAAAAACGCTTTCCACGAAGGAATTGTTTCAGGTTTCCGAAGAGGTAGTAATCGCTGGTAGCCAAATCTGGCGAACTTTAGTTCGTTGAATTTTGTCATATAGCTGCCATACACACTAAACGATCGGAATAAATGTATCTTGTATGGAAAACTGTTTCATTTGACGAGATATCTTCATGAAATTTGGCACGAGTTATTGTCTGCAGCAATGTCCAAAGAAATTGTTCACAACGAGTCACTATAGCATATAGCTGTCATACAAATTGACCCATCAAAATCGAGTTCTTGTAAGGAGTTTTTAGTATTTGCGAAAGGTATTACGAGCTTCGGTGCATCCAATGTGAATGCTTTTCCTTGTTTCCTAATGTGCAGAGAGTTTGTTTCACGCACTAACATTGATTGAATGATAAAAATATCGAATAATCCAAAATAGTAAAGAGTCCAGAGAGAATTCTGTATCAGCAATTTTTCATGCATTGCTGATTACCATAGAGGTTTATCGTTGCGAAAAAGTTGAAGGTAAAACCGCATATGCAGGGGAATAGTGTTAATAAGGAAAATTCTTTCTTATCTAGATCAACATACATGGAAGTGTGTATGTGAGTATTATATATGTTCCTAGTGCATTAAATCGTTTTTAGTTTCCATTTCTGCTTTTGTGTTTTCTGATTTTACGCCTGTCAAACAATGCACAGTCTAACGTTTCTGGATTATATTGCAGCACTTGAAATAATTACAATTGCCTGACGCACTAGTGATGGTTGTAAACCCACGAAAAGTGCATAATGTTGCAAATAAATTAAAATCCGACTTTGCGTGGTTACCCACGAATCAGTCGCAGCAGAAAGTGGCATGTTGCATGAGTACTACGTGTGCAAAGTAGATGGCGGTGAATGTGCTTGGCGCTATTCGGAGACGCAGGCACGCAGATCATGAGTCGCCAAGTTGTAAGCGGGAGGCGGGAGCTATTTGCCAAACTTATCACAACCCGCAACTCACATGCACTTGGCAGAGCGCAGATAATGCGCTCTTATTGCCAAAGATTAGGAAGAACGAAACAAAAAATCGAAAAAACGCTTGGAAATTCACAAAAATTGTAGAAATATGCCTAACAAGCGGAAATATGTGCAGATTATGCGATATTTACCGCTGCACCAACGACGTTGCCGTTGCCGACTGTACTTAGATAAACAAGAGTGGAGAGGGAAGCGAAAATCATTGTACTGAATAAGTGCAGCGTATCTTTATAATTGAAAAGTTGGCTGCTGCACAGAATTGCATCTCGTGAAATGCAAACTTCGTGGTGGCTACACCACTTTGTTTCTATATATACAGACCACGGGATGCGAACGCCAGCTCATGAGGGCACCCAAAGGCAATTGCAATTTGCGCCCAACATACGTCTACTTTGTTGCGCCGGCCAATTTCAATTGAAGCCAAATCCTCGAAGCGACTCACATTGGTTGCAGCATATGAAATTTGATTTTCACTTTTTATCCATTGCTTTTTGTAGCACATACTAACCTGCCCCCACTCATATGTACCATGCATGTGTGGGTGTACGCAAGGATGCGAGCATTATAAATGCCTACTTTTATGCTTATTCGTTCGACCGGTATTAGTGAGTACCGCCGCTGCGCCGATCACGACTTTTAGACTGTTGACTTAAACGTACGTGTGTGCAAGAATGCAAGAAAAATTAAAATGAAAATCCTGAATTGCATTCAGTGCAAACAAAACCGCCACGGAAAGTTCATTATTTGCAATTTCGAAAGCTCATCCAGAGGCCAATGAGTGACGTGAAAGACGCGATCGATTCACAAATTGCTACGCTTGGGCCGTCACATGCAACCAAAGGCAGTTTGGCTAAACGTCGCTGAGTAGAACCGTCCGTTCAGAATAGGTGGCAGCATCGGCCATTTTGTGTTGACGTTGCACTTTTGGCTTTGATTGCGCCTGGATGCAAGCTTTGTTGGACTGTCGGTCCACCCGAAATCTATAAACACAAGCACTAGGCTTGCAGCATAGCGCATTGCAGTCGCATGACGAAACTTGCCTGTATATGCATTATATACTTGGGGTCCTCAAAATTTGCGCGTTGCGAAACATAAACAGCATATGTATATGTTTGTTTAGCTGTTGTGATATACATATATAAATGCAATTGCAACCCCAAAGAAAACATTTGTAATACTAGTAAGTATTTTTGTTTTTGTTCTGTTTTCCTAAGCAGTTTTTTTTACTTACGCTCACTCACGCCCTGTAATGACGCACAGTGGGGCCATAAGGATGATGCATGAGGTATGTATGTGCATCTAACATGCATTTTCGGCATTGTTTATGCGCTTCTCTACCTCTTTGGTTGACGATGCACTCCCAAAGCCGAATACCATAAACACTTACGAGTAAGCACTCCTACCACATTTGGTGCATTTTATGCACAGTGTTCATGCATTGCACTTCTACTTCTCCTACTATTTCTGCTGATTCACAGTTCTAAAGTAAAAAAATTTTGATTCGAATTGTCAACGTTCAATTTATACTAGTATGAATTTAGCAAACTAGTTTTAATGTAGAACCACTAACCATAACTTTAACTTAACTAGTTACACCTCTAGATGCACTTAATCTAAATAATTAGTATATCAATTAAACTAATTTTGTTATTGTGATTATTGTTTTATTAAAGCCCATTTTAATGCCTAACTTGACATATATAACTAATGAATATTAAAAGCTGACAAAATATTGACTACCAGTTACTCATATTGTATGCAACCACTCATTGCCATTTCATCTCTCCAATTTAGTTTTGAGTATTCGAGTAGAAGAAAACACCGACTTTAGTATATTTTAAGTATTTGAATGCATGTGTTTTCGTACCGTTGCGAGAATATTAAGTGCACTATTATTCATTTCTAAATACATTGGTGCGTTCAAACTCTGTGCATCGTTCAACATGTCGCTGTACTTTGATTTGAATCTTCCAGGATGTTGACACGCTCATACGAAACTGGTGGCATTACGATTGCTCATGCTTTTTGTTTGCATTATGATTGCACAAAGTTAATAAGACTGATTTGCATGGTCAAGTATAACCATTACAGTTACATTCAAAACCAGTTGGTCCTGCGTTGGCGATTCGACTCTAATTTTCTTTTTGTATTTATTTATTATTTATAATTATAATGTATACATTTCGGTTAATATTGAACAAAAAATTAAATACATTTTGGAACACAAAAATGAGTATGAAAACTACTTTAAATGTGGAGGATATGCTTAGAAGCTAACGTATTTTCTTTATTATTCAAATATATTTAAATATTATTATAATTATTTAAATAATTTTTAATTTGAAATTGTGTTATATAAGCCCATTTTCGCACTACGTCATATATATGTTGGGATAATGTTATTTGGTTGAAATCGGTTGAGTAGATCCAGAGATATGGTGTTATACCAAAATATGGGCAGCGCCACGCCCATAGTCTAATTTACATATATTTATTGATTTATCGTGCTTTTAGTAGTTTCTAACAGCCATTTCATCCATTTTTACAGTGTCGGTGGTGTGTTTACCACATTCGTGCTGAGTGAATTTGGTTACTGTATCTTAAGTGTTTTTTTAGTCCACAGATGTCCTTGCTTCTAAGATCCCCTGGCCCAAATAACATTTTTATATCTTAATTTGAAGTTTAATTAAAACACTTTTTACATTTTCGCACAATGGCGTTTTGTGGGCGTTGCAGTGGTCCTATTACGGATGGACGCAGAAACGGACGGACAGATAGACATTTTGATTTCAACTCGTAAATATAACCCTATATCTAACTCGATTAGTTTTAGGTGATACAAACAACCGTTAAGTGAACAAAACTATTATAATCTGTAGCAACATGTTGCAAGAGTATAAAAAGTGCAGCAATGTCTGCGATTATTTTAGCACCTTTCAATGGGTTTATGCCACAAGCGTACAAAGTAACAGCAGGAGTGAGATTTTCAGCTGCATTTGAAATCTTCAGTAACCCAGAAACTACAAGCTGAGCAATTGTTTGTTCAACTCTAAGCCACACATTCAAAATCACACTAATGCACCTCTGCCGAAGTAATTTTTAAAAATTCGCTTGTAAATTCTGCAATGAATATTTTTATGAAAATACGGAAAAAGTAGCACAAAATCAATTTCTGTTGATTTTAGGGGAAACAATTCATAGTTGATATATGACATCGGTTCGCGCTTCTCTTCAAGGCAGATGGAACCTTTGGCTATTAAAGCGAAAGGGAAACAGCAATTTCTTACCGCGATGGAGCACAACCCCTTACATCTTGACAAGCCGCATGTGACAAGAACAATTGGACTGTCAATGGAAAAGTGAAAGTAACAATGCATCAAATGCAAACACCATTTGCGTGCGAAAATTCTTTGTTGTGGAATACGACCTCCACAGAATTGTTTTCTGATCGTCAGCTTATAGAATAGTGAAAACACTTGAGATATTTTTTAAGTTTAAACCGAATAGCACGGACGAGTATTTCTATTGCAGGGCCCAAAAATGCAGATCATGCTTATCATTCAGTTAAACAATTTTGTCCCTAAATTTCGCACATGTGTGACAAAAGTGCGTAAAATCCATCCGTTGTCAGTGCAAATCCGTTGAACTCGTTTTGCATCTAATGTTGACAGGATATAATCGATTCGAACTCAAGCACAAAAACAAAATTTTCTATTATTGGAAACAATAGGAACAAAAATTTGTGTGCCCTGTGTTACTATTTTATTGGCTGAGTTACATTACACATTACAAATATAATACAAAACCAGTAA